AACTTTTAAGAATTCTGTAATGTAAACGTTTACAAAGAGAAGAGTCCTCTTTAGAAACCAAGGAGGCCTAACTCCGCCATAGCACAACTTGGAATATTAACTGCATTGTAATGAGAAGTATCCTCGTGCCTAAAATCCACAGCACCTTTCAACTCACTTAGTTCTGCAAAACCTTACTTAGAAATTAAACGAATGTATGGGATTGTATAAGTTACAGATGTTAGTTGGAGATTGGATTAATTTTCAGGCAGTAGTAATGTTTGCTGTAAATACAAATATCGGAAAACACACACTTGAGGTGTAAATCGCTTAATTTGCAAGGTCAGTAGAAGGAAAGACACCGTAATGAAACTAAAAGGCTGTTCACACTTCATATACATTTTCCCGTTGTTCTGATTTCATTGAACATATATTATCGTTTGGCCTGATTGTGATTATTTTACATGCCCAGAGTAAACCTGGTAAAAATCCCTGCCTTTAAGATGTTATATTCCAGTGGGGGAGTATGGGCAATAAATACGCTAACAAGTAAAATCTAAGGTATATCAGATGGCGGTAAAAGTGCTAAAGGGAAAGGAAGTCGGAGGAGACATAGGGAGTGTGTGTGTGTGTGTGTGTGTGTGTGTTCGTGCGTGCACATATGTGTGTATGCAGGGCATTATGTGCTCGTGGTGCGGCCCAGGCAGCAACTGTGCTGACCGGTCAGTGCCTCTGCCTTACCACTGGTGACTGTTTTGAACATCACTCTTCAGGTGGGATTGCTTTTTCAAAGTGATTGGCAGGGAGGCCTCCCTGGCCGGGTACCATTTAAACAGAGACACAGTGAAGCTGGAGGGGTGAGCCAGGTGGACATTTGGAGGAAGGGCATTTCAGGCCCAGGAATCAGCAAGGCAAGCCCGTGTGTGGTGTGGCTTCGAAACAGCCAGGAGGCGAGTGTTCCTGAAGCAGACGGTGCCCAATCAGAGGCACTCACCCTTTAAGTTGTGAGAGCTCACCTTTGATGGCTCTGAAAGGCAGTCACAGTTTCCTCTTGTACTAGGCAGATGAAATAAACCCTGCTCAAGTTTGAGTTCATTGCTCTGGGATTTTGAATGGCCTTAAATGATTCTAAATCCTTGTCTAATTTAAAGGTCAATGTCCCGGCCACCCAGAGGCAGTCTTCTCTGTGGTGCTCTAGACCGTATTGTAGACACTTTAAGGACATTCTTGAGTAAAATGTGTGCTGGTTTTACTTCTGAAACGACCACGAAGTACACACTTTGCCCCAACCAACTTCCTCCTTCCTGGACCTTCCAGCAGTGTGTGTTTATAGCGCCCTCTCCTGTCTGGCATCAGCACTACGCTTCTCCACAAGACTTGGCTGCACACCCACCCACCAGCCACCAGCCACCAGCCACCACACGTCACATGCTGAGCCGGGGGCTCAGAGTGGCTGAAAATGGCCTAGACATAATAGATGCCTATGTTTCCTCATGTGTTCACTTCCTTTCCCAGCCTAGCCTACATTTAGCAGTTTTATTGTCTAAAAATGCTGTCTCCTGTGGTCTGTTAACCTCTATTCTCTCTGGCTTGCATCTGGCTCCTGACCAGCAAGCCGTGTGCATTTCATTTCTGCACCAGTATTGGTGGGTTTCTGCTCCATCTCTCTGTGTCTCTTTTCCTCTTCTTGGTGGGCATGGAAGACAGAACCCCAGTCTGTTTAGGTAAATTCCTAGCCAATCAGATCCTGGGGCTTGGAGTCCAGGAGCTACACCCACGGTGGTTTGGACCTTAGCACAGAAAAGCCAGAGAAGCAGGCTGCTCCGAGCCCAGCCATGAACATGCACTGTGCTCTTAGGTCCTTTCTCCTAAGGGAGTGAAAGTAAGTTACAGCAGGTAATTGAGGATGGAGGTAGATCTTGCATTAGGGGATTGCTTTGGGGTAAACTGTATCCTCCCCAAGTTCACATGTTGAAGCCCTAACCTTCCCCAAATGTGACAATATTTGGAGATGGGGTCTTTGGAAGGTGATGGGGTCTTTGGGAGGTAATTGGGTTTAGATGGGCTCATAAGGATGGGACACCAAAGGTGGGATTAGTGTCCTTATGAAAAGAAGCGAGAAGAGAGCTCTCTCTCTCCCTCCAGCCTCTCCCTGCTACCCCCTCTCTCTCTCCCATGTGAGGACACAGCAAGAAAGTGGCCACTACAAGCCTTCACCAAGAATCAAATATACCAGCACCTTGATCTTGGACTTCCCAGCCCCCAATCTGTGGTATTTGGTTATGGCAGCCCGAGCTGACTGAGACAGGGCCCCAGAGCCTCCCTCTTTTCCGATGGAGATTAATAAACCGCTTCCATCAACTCTACTCCATCCTTTTCTCCAACCTCAAAACAGAACAAAACGAAAAAAGAATGCTATTAATTATTTACTAGAAGCCGTGTTTCAAGGCAATTAGTTGTCTGAGTTCCCTTCAGGTGGAGCAGAGATGGCTCTGCTGAGCATTCCTACTCAGGGGGGCCTTTTCCCAGCCCGACTCGCGGCAACCCTGAGAGCAGCCTGGAATGAGATGCTGGGGAGGAAGAGACGGGTGTGGGAAGTATTTTTGCCCTGAAACCCATAGTTAAAAGACCACTTCAACCCTGACTCTCCTTCTGGTCTCTCTTTCATCTTCCTTCTAGACTGAGTCGTGCCCAGTCCTTTTCCCCTGCTCTCGAGGCTCACTCTTTCTGCCTTCTCATTCTCAGCAAATTTAAGCACCAGAGTGGGCTTCCTGGCTGCTGGCGGCACCTGGAGCACCTTGGGAAGCAGGGAGCCGGGGATGAGGGGGTGGGGTCAGGGAGCGGGCACACGTGTCTGTCTCTCCGGTATCACTGCTGCCTGCCTGGTCCCCGCTGGTGGAGAATGTGCCCAGCCCTGCAAACGAACAGTCTGTTCTCATTGCTGTTACATTTGAGATGGAAAATAGAAAAAAACTACACAATAATCACATTGAAAAGCTGACGCCGCCTGGCCTCCCCTTTGGTTTCTGTGTGTAAAATGGGGCGGAAGATGGGTCGGAGGCCAAGGGATGATGGGGAGGGAGGCTGTGATATTGAACAGCTCCATCTGACCGTCCTGGGGTTTGTCTCCTTGCTCTTGGCTGGCACAGGGTGTAATCCACCTCCCACTCCAAAGTCTCTCTGGCAAAGTTCTGCAGTAATGCTCTCTCACTGGCTCTATGTGTGGGATGGGAGGCTAAGAAAGTGGTCCCGTTTGGGGCTTAGCAAAGGTTTTTCTACAAAGAGGGTGATGTTTTACACACACTTCATCCACTTGGAAAGGGAGAAGGGGCAGGGGAAGCAGAGGGACCCAGGCTTTTCCTTCTCTTTTGAAATGAACTGTGCTCATCTCCACCCCCCCCCCCCGCCCCGCCTCAAATTTACAGACTGGAATGGATGGAGAGAGCATCTCCAAGATGAAGAGCCTTCTATGCGCCAGCTCTGGGGATGGAGGGAGATGGGATGGAAATGAGGGAGAAGCCCCAGATCCTGTCCTGAGTTTTCCGGGAGATCTGTACCCACAGACTCAAATTTAAAGGGGCTGGATTGTATGAGGGCGGCAGAAGAGGGCCTGGGAAAGCCACGCGGCCCCTCCCGATGTGGCACCCACTGTAACTGCACCGTTTGCAACCTCTAATTACACCGCTGCTGGCAAGAATGAGGTCATGCTGTCTGCAAGTGACTTTCTCAGTAACGAGCCCCTCTCAAAGTGGCAGTCTCCCTGCTCGGCTGGCGAAACTCTAAGATAGTTCGTGTGTGTGTGTGTGTGTGTGTGTGTGTGTGTGTGCAGGCCGAGGCCAGAAACAGCCTAAGATGGATAGAGACAAAGATTTGCTGGAAGGGTACCATCCTCGCAGCTCTCTAACAAGCAGGCATGCCTGGAGATGTCCTACACAAAGGGACAACCTCCTCCCTCACCGCAGCCACTGGTTGGTGCCCTGGCCTTTGGGGATTAAACTCCCAGAAGAAGGTGTATGGGGTTACACATGGTTGTGCAAACATGTCTCTTTCTACAAAGAGAACAAATGCTGTTCGGAGCCTCCAGTTCAGACTCATGGCTGCTGAAGTCTGGGACTGGACATGAAGAGGGTAGGCGTTTGGGTGGATGTGAGCTCCCGCCCTCGGAGAACAGAGATACAGCCTTTCTGCTGTTCCTTTGCTGGCTGAGGAGAGGTCCCTGGCAAAGCTGGCTCTCAGGCCCCCTCTGTGAGCCAAGAGTGTAATAGCACTGTGGAGACAGCTGTTCTCCCAGGTCTGGGAAGGGCCTGTGCTCTGGGAGGGGGCAGTTAGAGCAGGCAGGGAGTGTGCAAGGCCCCAGCTGGGCATCCCTAAGCAACTGGCAATGGCATGGCCAGTAAGACGAAGGAGGGCTGGCCACACTTGGGCCACCTGCCCCCAAAGCCCTCCCCTTTACCAGTCAGCCAGCCAGAAGGACTTTGGTCTGGGATGGAGCACACGTTGCCAGGGGAAAAAGTTGCAAAATGATGTTTGAATTAGGCGATGGAAGCATGTAGGGAAAGTGGGCTGGCTTCTCAGCTGTTTTCAGAAAATGCCCATGGTTCTTTTTACAAGGCAGGTGAGATGGGAATATAAAAGTAATGAAACGTCTGCAGGGCTGTGGCTGCTCCAGAGCAAGCAGGAGGGGTGCCTTCTGGGCTGGAGTGGGCCGCCAGGGAGACAGAGGAGAAACGCGCTGCGCCCACAGGTGGAATCTAGTGGCTCTTTGCTCCCAGCAGAAACACCAAAGGGACAGGGAGACTCCACGTGGCTCCGCAGGCACAGTGCCGGGGAGCATGAAATGGAAATGTTTTCGTTTCTTTTAAAATCAGAAGAAATCAATGAACTTTTAGGTTGAAGAAAATTGTTTTAATATGTAATATTAATATATTTGTGCCAACGCAGTCATAAATATTATTTTAAATATATATAGATAGATTTCTTTTTTTTTTCTTTAATAGAGGAAGGGATCCAGGGAAGCAAAGCTGTCTAATACCCAGGAATGTTTAACTGGGTCCTGCAAACCCGAGCTGGCCTTCTCCCTCAGCAGGGCTGCTGACTCCTGTGGTCCACAAGCAAGGAAGCCTCCGAGCTTCCTTTTTATAGCTTCCTCAATAATTTCCCATTCTTCTACCCTTTGCAAGCAGAGCTCAAAAGGAAAAAGAAAAGAAGAAACAAAGAATGCATATGCCTTGGCACCAACTTCACTTTCTCACTGTCTCTAAGTCCCAGGCCTCTCCTTTGTCTTGCTCTCCGCCCTGAGCGGTTCTTTTGAAAGCCTGACCTGGGAAGGGGAAACTGGAATCAACCAGTTGCCCGAACCCCTCTATCCAGTACCCCCCCCAGCCCTATTACTCAACGTCCGGGAAGGGTGTCGGGGTTCCCGACACCCGGGGAGAGAGGTCTGATGAGGCCTTTGAGAGCGCGGTGCGGGGCCGAGGCTGGAAGGGAAGGCTGGCCGAGAGAGCCGAGGGGCTCTGGGCGCATCCCGCCCCGGCCAGGTTCTAGGTTGGCACTGCTGCTCTCCCGCGGCTCCCGGAGAGGCTGGGCGCCCGCAGCCGCGCAAACGGCTCGTGTTTCCACGGGGCTCGCTCCCGGGCCTGGCTCGGAGCCGCCGCCGCCCGCCCCCCCTCCCAGGGCGCAGGCTGCTCTTCAGTCGCGGCCACGGGGTAGCGCTCGGCCCCCCTCGCCGCGTCTCCGTCTCCGCCTCCGCCGCGCTCGTCCCCGGCTCACGCGGCCCGCGCAGCTCCCGCTCGGCTCAGGCAGGAGTGGCTCTCCGGACGCCGAGCCCGGGAAGCCGAGGGCGGCGGGTTCTGCGAGCGAGCGGCCGAGGCGGCCGAGGCGCTGGGGCGGGCGCGGCGGCCGCTGCTTCTCCTGCCCGGGAGGTCGGCGCGCGCCGGGCGTCCGAGGAGGCGCCGCGCCCCCGGAGCCGGGGCCGCCCGCCAGGCTCTCCGCGCGCCTCGCCGAGCTCCGGCCGGGGAGCGGCGGAGGGCAGAGCCGCCCGGCTCCAGCCTCGGGCCAGCAGGAGGCTCCGCGCCCGGGCGCCGGCGACAAGCCCTGGTCGCCGAGCCCAGCAGACGTCCCCGCCGCCCCGCAGCCGGAGCGGACATGGGCTCGCGGGGCGGCGCGCCGGGCCGCGGGACCCGCAAAGTTTGCTAGCCCGCTGGGCGCGGAGCCGAGGGCGCGCCCGGGCCCGGCGTCCCCTGGAGGGACCGAGAGTCCCCGGATTAGGCGCCGGGGCGGTGGAGGCGAGAGAGGTGGTTCGGCCCCGCCAGATGCCGCCTGCAAAGTTAGAGAGAAGAAAACTTCAGCTCCAGGGAGATTCGGACCGCTATGCTTACCGCGCCTCCCGAACCCGGCGCCCCTGAAAGAAGCCCCGCACCCGCATCTGCCGCCGCACTCGCCTCTCGCACGGCCCCGGGGGCCCGGCGCCCGGATCGGCGCTGACTGCGTCCGCGCGGAGCACCGAACCAGGGGGCGGGCAGGGGGCGGGCAGGGGGCGGGCAACGTGGCCACGGGAGGAAGTTTCCTGAAGTTGTCGCTTTATTCCGGAGCCCGGCCCGCGACCCGGTCAGATCGGTGAGGCCGCCTTGCCCGGTAGAAGAAGTCGGAGTTGGGGTGCTAAGCGGGGAGGTGCCCCGAGACCGAGAGCGGCTTCATCCTCCTCTTTGCTCGCCCCTCGCCTTCCCGGAGCGCCGCGGGGATCGGACTTGTACTAAAGAAGAGGAGGAAGGGTTGGGGTCGCCAGCGTCTCCCCTCCCCGGCGGATACCGCTCCGGGCCGGAGCCGCGTAGACAGCCTCCCGGGACGTAGCCACGGGGTACCGGACCTCACCAGGATTATAAAACTGTTCGGAAGACCAATCCCCCGAAGAAAAGGCTGGTTGCCATGTGGGGACTACTGATCTGGACTCTGCTGGCCCTGCACCAGATCCGCGCGGCCGGAGCCCAAGGTACAGTGCCACCCCCAGTGGGGCTGGAGAAGGGGCGCGGGAGGGGCGCGGGGAGGGGCGCGGGAGCTCGCTGGTCTCACGGTCGCCTCCGGGACCCCGGGCTTGGCCTGGGCAGAGCCCTCTCCCGGGAGTTTCAGGCCCCTTTCCCCGAGTTTGGGGGCTCTCTTTGGGGGGCTGGAGCGGTCTTGCTGAGACTTGTGACTTCCGAATAAGGGAAGGTGGGGGTCCGTGCTGGGAGGCGTCGCTCGTGGAGCCTAAGAGGAGTCGGGGGGGGGTCGCTACCTCCCCACCCGGGTTGCGGGTGCCCTCGGGCTGGTGTGGGAGGGGCGCGCCATTCCGTGCCGGGGTTAGCGCCCGGCTGCACCCTGCTCCTCAGGCCGGGCTCCTGGCTCCCCGCTCGGTGTCCGCGGGGAAGGGCAAGGCCCTGCCGGGCACGCGCTGGCCGCCCCGGGGCGAGGCAGTGGGGCGGGAGGGCGGCGGGAAGGAGCCAGAGTAGAGCGCTGGGTTCCTGGATGGTCGCCCCGGGAGGGCAGTCTCGGGGCCTGGCCAAGTCTCGGAGCCCGCGCCTGGCTGCCTGGCCGGCCGCCGGGGCTGGGGGTGCTTCGCGGTGCTCGCCGGAGGCGAGGTCTGAGGCCCTCTCCTCTCGCGCCCACCCCCCTCCCCTCCCCCCGCCCCCAGACACACTCAGCGTCCCGCCTTTGCCTCCAGCTCCACTGGCCGCTCCAGCGTCTCTGCCGCCGCCGCTCTGACCTGTAGCTGCCTGGCGCAGCCTCAGGGTGGAGAAGGGCTGGTGGGTTTGGGGTGGGAGTGCTGGGAAGGAGGGGGAGGCGTGATCGATCCGCCCTGCCCCCCTCCAGAGGGCGGATGCCCAGACCTACCGCCAGTCCTCGGGCAGGTCCCAGCGGGGGAGGGCGGCTGCACCCGTGCCTCCTTCTTGCCTTCGGTGTTCGCAGATCCAGACAGCAGTGCCAGCGGTGTCCGAGCGGCGCCTGCTGGGGGCGGCGGGAGACGAAGCCTGGACTGAGCTCCAGGACTCCCAGGGCTTGGCCTGCCTTCTTCCAGGCTCGGGAGGGGGCCTGGACCCACCCAGGGGGCGCCGGTCTGCGGAGGCTGCAACCTCGAAAGGGCCCCACCCCATCTCTGGAGTCCCAGAGTCGCAGGGACTCCAGTGAGCCCAGCGTCAGGCATCCCAGAGAGGCAAGATCAAACAGATAAAAATAATCAGCTCTCAGTCACAGGGTAAAGAGGAGGATTTTACAACGTAATTTGCGTTAAAGCACTTAGAAATTTTGTAACGGGGCCGTGTAAATGTAAGGTAATAAAAGTTATTATTTTTATGATCATCATAAAATCTTCCAGCAGGCAGGGACTTCAGATGTCGTCTTATTCTAGTAGCCATTTAACAGATGGGAAAACTGAGGTCTAGGGGCATTAGGTGACTTGCCAAAGGCTGCTGGGTGATCTGGGGGCGGGAGTCTGGACTGGGACCAGGTGAGTTCTAAGCTCCTCTCTCCCTGGAACCAGGACCATCTGCAGCTGGGGTGGGCTTGCTGGGACGGGGCCCTTCTTCTAAGGGTCCAGGGGGAATGTGAGGCTGGCAGAATAGAACAGGTTAGGCCTGGGGCACCTCGCAGATGTGTTCTGAGATGTCCATGGGGTCACTAGCTGAAAGCCAGGCGACTGGGAGGACTCTGGGGGGGTGTCCGTCTCTATCTGGCTGCTTCTGATTTCATTACTGCATAGACTCCAGTAACCCCACGATTTCCCTGGGCAGGCGGCTCGTTAGTTCTTGTCCCATCCAAAACCAGGCTTGTAAGGAGTCCCCAGGGCACCTGAAGGTCCTTCCTTCTGGGTCAGCAAGTCGTTTCCATGTCCCACCTCCACACCTGTCCCATCCACCGAAGTCCAAGATTCCACGTGGCCGTCCTGCTGAAGTTCAGGCCAGGCCACCTCATGTCCTTGTGCTTCCAGAGGGAGGGGCTCGCCCTGTCAGAAGTGGTGAAGGTCTCTTTGATTCACTCTCTCTCCTGCTTCTCTTGTTTGCTGCGGGCTTGAGTGTGGCTGCCCAGGTTCCCTGCTGCTCCGTTTGTGTTCTCTGGCTCCGAGAGAGTGTTTTCCAGCATCCATCGGGTATTCTCCTTCCATTTGTCTCCAGGGCGGCAAACCATGCAGAGGATTATGGGAACTTGGTCTCGGCCCAGGTCTGGGGGCACTGTTGCGTTGTGTGTCGGGGAAACAGGGTCAAGCATGGGTTTCCAGGGGGTTGTTTCTCGTCTGCTTTGGGGTTAGAGAGTGGAGTCTCTCCTTTGCTTTTTTCTCCATTTGCTTTGCTTTTGAGTTTGAGGCGATGCCGTTAACCCTTTGCGGTGGTTAGAGCCACTGGCACTGTGTGTCACTTCTGAGCCCATGAGCCCCGTTCTCTAATGATGATACAGAGTGAGGGACCAAGCAGTCTTCTTCTCTTGGGACAAACCTCACATTGGCTGCCAGATTTATCCACACAACCTAGTTTTTTTCAGGTGCAGAACCTGGGTAACACTACCTGTTTATACTGAAAGCTACCATTTGATCGTTTCCCCTGAAACGTGATGTCACATGGTTCCCACTCTTTCCCCAAACTAAGCGCAGGGGTGTTGTAAAGAGAGCAGAGCACGTATGAGGATACCAGGTATTCAGGGGATGCCTAGCAAGTGCCTGGCACGTAGAAGGTGCTTAATAAAGGGTAATTGTTTTTTTGTTGTTATTATGATTCTTTGTACACTATTAGCCAAGGGGCCACGAGGAGTGGTTCCTGGGCACCCACTGAAAAGGCCTTGAATGCCTTTTCCTCACCCAAGACCCTTCTCTGACTCCCTTCTGTGGCCGCATCACCATGACCCAAAGTGGCCCTCCAGCGGTCCCGATCCAGACCCCCAGGCATTCGGATTGGAGGGTGTCTGCATTTTAACAAGCACCTCGCAAGATGTTTCACGTGCCACTGCTGGTGGACATCTCTCGGAGGCTGGGAGGCTGGAAGGAGGGCGGCAGAGCCCAGCCAGCTGGTCCAGAAGCTTCTTTCAAGTGAACGGTGCCTGGGGGAGGAACAGAGGGGAGTCTGAGCTGAGGGAACCAGGCAGTGGGAAAACCCTGAATGGAGATTGGGAAGCCCAGCCCCGGAGGATCCCGATCCCGAAGTCTCCAAACGGAGAAAGTTTACTGCTGGGAGGTGATCACAATAAAAGCCAAACAGTACTCAAGGGAGTGGGATGAAAGTTTAATGCTGTGGCTAAGCTATAATAATTAATTACTGACAGCAAAAGATAACTTATTGATCAGGGCTTCATACTCATTACCACAAGGCCGACTGGCGTGCTTGCCTGCGGCTCAGCTGGTATGTGTCAAGAGCCCCCGCCCCACGCGAGGGCGGCCCCAGGGGTGTCCCTGTTCCCTACCTCCCCTTCTCCCAGGGCCAGAGAGGTGGCTCTCAGCCCCAAAAACCCCTCGCCCTCGCCCTGTGCACCCCAGGGCTTCAGCTGGGCAGTCTGGAACATTCTGGCTGTGGATTGATGAGTGACACCGTTTGGTGCTTGTATTGGCCTCAGAAGATCACCCCTGCCTGGGGTGGACAGACTCAGGAACCCCCCCCCCCCCCCCACCGCCCAGAGACCAAATCATGCTGGCAGCCTGATACCTGCCTCAGAAACTCTCCCTTTCGAATATTTGTTCGGCAAATATTTATCGACCGCCTCTCCTTTATGTCCTCTGCTGGAAGGCCAAAGTAGGGGCCAGGAACCTTGTTCCGTTGGGGAAGGGAGGCTGGGAAAGAGGCCAAGTCCTTTACAGCAGTTTTCTGTTTAAACAGTGCCTGAACGGCCGACCTTAAAATAATGTGTTAAACTGCGTATTGGTATGCACTCGATCTTGTACCACAGGACACAATTGGGCTGTAAGCTAAACGGTAATAGAGAATGAGCTTGTTCTCTGTCCTGAGGACTAACATGATCAGTACGTTTGACTTGAAAGAAACATGAAAAATCATCTAGTGCTGTCCCCTGCCTACAAGCCTGGGGCAAGTGGCCATGTGGTCTCTGCTTGCATACCCCTGGTGATGGGGGGCTCACTACCTCACAAAACAGGCTGGTTGTTAGACAGTCGTGCTTTATGTTGCTGAACCTCCTTGTGGCTGGTTATCCTAGGATTTGGCTGTGGGTGAAGGAGTCCTCTGATTGGCTGGAACCTCGCCCTCCCTGCCCTCTGACTCCTGGCCCCTCAGGGAGTCAGGAAACTGAGTTGGAATTGATGCAGGGTGTTAGGGTGCTGCCTGCAGGATTTCCACCCTGGCCCGCCTGGAGCACATTGTTGCAGCAGACAGCCCTGGAGCTGCCTGAAGCGGTGGGAATTAGTCATCATAAATTTGGGGCCTTGGGATGCCAATAGCAACAAATGGGCCAGCAGCAGCCCCACTGCCTGTAACGGAAAGGAAAACAGGCCGGTTGCTGAGACATCCCCGCTACTAACCCCGCCACTCCTCGTCCTCCCACCCACTCCTGTCCTCCGGGGACAGAAGGCGGGGCCAGTGAGTAATGCTGAGCCAGGGACCCACCGGGACTGCTCAGGGTCCTGGAGGAAGAGGAGGGAGGGGCTGCACAGCTTGTCTCATCAGACTCCCCGAGCCAGGTGTCTGGTCCAGAAAGCCCCTCTCTGAGCCCGGGAGCCCCACTGAGGCCCCTCTCCTGCCGATACTGGAGGTGCCAACATGGCAATGGAGATGGCTTCCAGCCTGGTCCTGGCCTTCCTCTGTCACTGAGCCACCGGGAGCTGAGGCCCAGTTTCCTCATCTGTAGAATGAGGAAACGGAGTTAAAAATAAGTCTTGTATACCACTCCTCCCAGATGTCTGCACAGCTCAATCCTTAGTTAATCGGGCCTTTCCTCTGATGTCCCTGATCCGTCCCTAAAC